TTTCTGCTGGGACACATCAACATGGGCCAGTGTGCACTTGGTGGAACTGCCCCGTGTCTTGGGGCCAAGTGCAGGCGGGGCTGGAGGTGTGTCCTGAGCACATCCAGCTGGTCAAACGAGAACTCAGGCCCCCCACATCCATCCTATCATCACATACCAGACAAGACCTAAGACAAGACCAGACATGACAGAGGGCTAAGGCTGCCCTGGGATCATGGTAGTGTAGCTCACCCAGTCTGACTCCTGCATTATATGGGCCAGGAAACTATTGTCAGTCGATTCCGCCTTCCGTGCGTGTTGCTGCCGCATCTCTGTGCCTCCCAGCCTTGCCTTAAGCAATGCGATGAGTAACTGTCACATGCTTGTTTCCTTCCACCCTCCCCAGGGAAAGAAGCTTGTGCTGCACTGTGTCATGTTTTGTAAAGCCCTGTAGGGTTTTTCGCCTTCTTGTCTGTGTGTGTGTGTGTCACCCAGCTCTTCTGCCGAGAAACAGCAAGAAAAGTTCATTGTGCTTGCGACTGTGGGTAAAGGAGTGCCTGGTGGCCATCACTGTCACCTGGAACAAGCTGCTCCCCTGGACAACACCCTTTCTTGGGAAAGCTTTTCACTGTGCTTCTCAAAAGGAATTGGTGTTTTGCTTCCAACCAACAGATTATTGTGACCCTGCTTCAGAGGAAGCAGGAAACTCTCTGTAGTGAATCATAGAAACCCAGACTGGTTTGTGTTGAAAGGGAGCTCAAAGCTCACCCAGCTCCAACCCCTGCCACGGGCAGGGACCCCTTCCACTGGAGCAGCTTGCTCCAAGCCCCTGTGTCCAACCTGGCCTTGAACACTGCCAGGGATGGGGCAGCCACAGCTTCTCTGGGCACCCTGTGCCAGCGCCTCAGCACCCTCACAGGGAAGAGCTTCTGCCTGAGAGCTCATCTCAGTCTCCCCTCTTCTACCTTAAAGCCGTTCCCAGCCTCTCTCAGCCTGGCTCCAGAGCAGAGCTGCTCCAACCCTCGCAGCAGCTCTGTGGCCTCTGGACTCGCTCCAGCCCCTCCACGTCCCCTTTGTGCTGTTGCCCCAGAGCTGCATCAGGACTGCAGGGGGGGCTCCCCAGAACGCAGCAGAGGGGCAGGATCCCCTCCCCGAGCTGCTGCTCACACTCTGGGGGTCCAGTCCAGCACACGGGGGGGTTCTGGGCTCAAGCACACGCTGGAGCCAGGGAGCGTCTCATCACCCATCACCCCCAACTCCTCCTCAGGGCTGCTCTCAATACATATGCATTCAGTTCTATTAACATCTATCACCCTGATCTATACAATACATAACACTGCAGACCTCTGTAAATCTGCCAGCCACATGGGGCTTTCCTCGCGGAGGGAAAGCAGCTGCGAGCGCCTTTTGCTTGGAGCCACTTGGGGCACTGTGAGTGCCGAGCCCTGCGCTCCGTTTGGCGCAATGCACCTTTTGGCAGGCTCCTCTTGCTGCATCCCGGCAGCCTTCAGTCACGGTGTGAACGTTCCGAGTGGGATGCAGAGGGAGACGTGCTGTGGCTGTCACCGCGGCTGGTGAGGCGACAGATGGCTCTCGCATGTCTGCTCCTGAAAACGCTTCTCCAGGGGCTAGACCCTCCCTCGCTGAGCCGTGCTCTCCGGGATCCTAATGGCCATTAGGAATTGGCTTTATTGTGTTATGTTTGTGTGATTTCCTATACAAAGGAACTAGAAAACATCCTCAGGAGCTGTAATAGGGAAATGGACTAGGGGAAGACAACCTTTACTGAAGGACCCACAGCCTGAAACCTGGAGCCTGTGACATCTTGTTCTCATGCTTGCACAGAGTCTCAAAGTCTGGTCCTTGACAACCACTGCAACATCCTATTTCCACTGGTAAGCCAAAAACCTGGGACAGGAATAAGGGACACACTAATTTCTCATCAGATCTTGTGTCTTTTTGTCTGACTTGTCAAATATGTGAAAGAGCTAGAAACGTGCCAGGCAGAACTGCAGCGTGTTGCTGTTCACACTCAGCAGTTACATCATTCAGTCCCGATGGTGTGTTATTTGATGGTTTCCACTGCAAGATGAAGAGGTGGCAAAGCAGTGGAGTTTGAACACACACACACAGCAGAAAAGATACAAATCAACAGCAATTAGGAATGTTAAAAGGAAGAGAGAGAAAAAAACCAACCCAACAGCCAAATCCCCTTTCATGTGTCCAGCCTGTTTACATCCTATACTAGAATAACGCTGATCTCACTGCTGCCATTAATGAAGTTTACACCTCTGGTTGAGCACATTAATTTATCTCAGCAAGCCAAAACTCATTATAAGAGCCCATAAATGCTATCAGATGAAAACAGCATCCTTCAGCTATCTCAGGGATTAAAGCAAGGAGGCATTCAACTGACAAGTCTTCCGCTGGCAGGACTGCAGTCGGAGCACGCGTGGTGTGGGACGCACAATACCTCAGTTATGGCTGCGGGTTTCTCTCTATGGAGAAAGTGATGTGGAGCCTCTGCAGCACCCCTGTGGGGGGGAGCAGCTCCCTTCTCCCCCGCTCTCAGGACACTTCCTAGGATTCATCAGGCCCAGCAGCAGCTGAAGGGACATGGGAGGCTCTGGGCGACTCCAGAGGCTGGCTGTGGACTGATCTGTGCAGGGACTGGCAGCCCCAAAGGCAAATAAAGAGGGTCAGGCTGGGAGGAGGGAAATGGCTGATTCTCTGATTCTGGCCCCTTGGGTGTGGAAACCTCCTCACGGCACACGTCCCCTCCCACACTGCATCCGCCCCCTTGACATGCAACTTCCAGCCAGCACCGGCCTTGCCCTGAGTGCAGGCAGTGCAGGATATGCATGGTCCTGCCCATTGGGCCCCTTAAGCCAGAGCCAGCAGCTCCCAGCACCGCTGCTGTGGGTTACAGGGGAGCCTGGCTGCGGGGCTCAGAGGGAACAGCTTCTCCAGCAGTAGGAGTGATCTCCACCACCTTTGCGTCTGAAATCACTCGTCAAAATGACGTATTTTCAGTTTTGCAGCTCTTTTTTCACATGGAGAGTGGTGGAGGGCGGGGAGTGAACCAAAATGAACTCGCAGAACTCCAGCTTCTTTTCCATTTAATGTCACACATGAACTGCACATCACGAACGCAAACCGGGCTTTTCTTCCGAGTCCTCCTTCCAGCAGGCCCAGCACAACGTGGGCAGGGGCTGGGTGGGGGTGAGCCTCTCGGGCTCTGCACCCCGCTGTGCCTCAGCACCACGCTTGCTTTTCCTTGCAGAGCAGCCCACATCCCCGGGCTGAGCCCAGGGAATGCCGTGCGTGTGGCACAGCCCTTGGGATGCAGCAGTTCTCTGTGGTGCAGAGAAAACCATCTCCCCTTACAAGACCACACCGTGTCCAGCATCCCTGCAAGCCACGGTGAGCACACCGAGGAGAAGGTTGTGCGTTTTCAGCAAGGGAAGACATGCTGGCCAAATGGTCAGCTCCTCCCGGGTGCACAGCATGTGGATGCGCTAAGCCCTGTCATTTTGGGACTGCCGTTGTCAGTAAACTATTGATGCTGTGGTGGAAGGTTGAAGTTAAGGAGGATTCTCATTTCATAGGATTTCTGCAAGGAGCACAGTGGAAAAGGTGCCTGCCTCCAGAGGAGGACATGGTGGGATGCTGTTCTGTGCACACCACGAAACCGGCCTCGTGCCAGCCGTCCTGCTTGCTTGTGCTGCACATCCTCAGCCTCTGCAGCTTGGGTTTGCGGGGGGGAAGATGCTGAAGCATCCTCAGCAGTGTTTTGTGGGAATGATACGCTGCGCTGGAAGGGTTTCTTCAGTCTGCTGTCATCATGAGGACTCGTGTTCGCTGAGCATCAGTTACCACTTGGCAATCACCTCCATTGTCTCTGTGATCAAAACAGCGGCGCAGGGAGCTGTGGCTGTGAGTGGCAGGTACGTTTGAGAGGCTGTGTCACATTTCTTCTAGCTGCTGCCTCGACCTGTCAAATCTAAATGTAATTTACTGTGATACAGGCACAGTGTCATCCAGGAGGCACAGCATCCTTGTATGTGTGATACAGCTGGGAGATCTCATCTGTGTGCATCCCAATGCTGTCAACACAGGTGAGGCAAAGGCAGAACAAAGGCAGAAGGACTCTTTGAGTTCCCACAAACCCAGACAGATCAAGGCACTTTCAGCCCCCAACCCAGGGGGGCCCAGGCTGCCTCGACAGATGAGGGGAGGCTTTTGTGGGCTTGGCCCTGCTGGGGTCCATCGTGAATGAGCGCTGGGGCAAAGGCCAAGCTTCCACAGGCAGCTGCCTGCAGACCCACCACAGCTTTGTTATCTCCTGCCTGTTCCTTGTTCAGTTCCTTGAGAGCAGAGCAGAGGAGAGCCCTGCATGAAAATAAAGGGATGTGGAACAAAGCCCTAGGCAGGGTGGCCGGCATGGGGTGCATCCCACTGCCAGAGGCTCCCCTGTGTTGGGTTAAAGCCATTCCCCCTTGTCCTGTCCCTACAGGCCCTTGTCCCAAGCCCCTCTCCAGCTTTCCTGCAGCCCTTTCAGGCACTGGAGCTGCTCTCAGGTCTCCCCTTCAGGAGCCTTCTCTTCCCCAGGCTGCCCCAGCCCAGCTCTCTCAGCCTGGCTCCAGAGCAGAGCTGCTCCAGCCCTCGCAGCATCCCCATGGCCTCCTCTGGCCTCACCCCAACAGCTCCACGTCCTTTTTATCCGTCTTTAGTTTCTGGAGCTCTATTGCAAAGCTCCACTCGAGCTCCTGCGGCCTGGAGCTCCACTCCTCCCTCTTGCCCGTTTCCGCTCCCCGCAGCCATTTCAGGGCTACCCGAGGCGATGCTGATGAACCCCCCGCGCCACTGACAGCAGTTACAGCAACCGCAGCATCTCGGTCAGACGCCGCTCCCGCTGCGCGGCCGCCCCAGCGGAACCCAACCCTTCGACGGCTCCACCAGCACAACCGCACGCTCCGCCCCACCCCGCCCTCGGCCGGGCCCCGGCTTTTCGCCGCCCGCCGCCACCGCCCCGCTCCCGCATCCGCTCCCGCAGCTCCGCTCCGCCATGTCCGCCGAACCGGCCCCGGCTGCCGCCACCGCCGCCGCCGCCCCCCCCGAGCCGGCCCCCGGCCCCGAGCCGCCCGCGGGCGCCGATGAAGCGGCCGAGCACCGGGCGCTGGTGCTGACGGGCTTCGGCGGCTACGAGAAGCTGAAGGTGCAGTCGCGGCGCAGCAGCGGCCCCGGGCCGGGAGAGGTCTCGGTGCGCGTCCACGCCTGCGGCCTCAACTTCGCGGACCTGCTGGCGAGGCAGGGGCTGTACGACCGCCTGCCGCCGCCGCCCGTCTGCCCCGGTATGGAGTGCGCCGGAGTCGTCCGCGCCCTCGGAGACGGCGTCCACGACCGGCAGGTGAGGGCGGGGCGGTTCGGTTCGGCTCGGTTCGGTTCGGATGCGCTCGGCTCTCCCCGCCGCACTGCGGTGGCCCCGCCCCGCCGCCCACCCGGTGCGGCCCCGGTGGCCCCGCCACGTCCCGGTCCCGGTGGTCCCGGCCCGACCGGCGGGGATCGGGGCGCGGCCCCGGCAGCGAACAAAGCCCCGGGACAAAGGGCGGCAGAGCCCGAAGGGAGCTGGAGAGGGGCTTAGGGCCAGGGGTGCAGGGACAGGGCAAGGGAATGGCTTTAACCTGCAGAGGGGAGACCGAGATGAGCTCTTAGGCAGAAGCTCTTCCCTGGGAGGGTGCTGAGGCGCTGGCACAGGGTGCCCAGAGAAGCTGTGGCTGCCCCATCCCTGGCAGTGCTCAAGGCCAGGTCGGAGCAAGCTGCTCCAGTGGAAGGGGTCCCTGCCCGTGGCAGGGGTTGGAGCTGGAGGAGCTTTGAGGTCCCTTCAACCCAAACCTTTCCCCGATTCTCTGTACAAGCTGTTCTTGGTGGTGGCAAGCGCTGGTAGGATGTTGAGCTAAAGCGGGACGGTGCCGTTCCTGAGCACGTTTGTGAACATCCTTTTAAACTCCACGGATGTGGAAGGAAGCCTCTAGCTGCTGCAGGGCTGTCAGGAGCCACCTGAGGGTGCTGAGGCGCCGGCAGGAGCAGGTTGGCTGCTCTCGGTGCTGGGTTTGTGGTCTGCGAGGCTCTGGCTGCCGCATTTCCAGCACCTCGGGGGACAGGAGAGTTGGCTCTGCGCATCCCAGACCTTCGGGTCTCAGGGCTCTCGCAGTCGTGGTGCTTTAAAACGATTCTGGGGTGAACAGCGAGGAAAATGAAGCATCTCAAAAACCCCGGTGCTCAAAGGCGGTTCCCTTCCCTCCAGGAAAACATCGTGGTTGACTGAAGTGGAAATGCCAGACCCGCAAGCTGAGGAGCCTTTCTGCTCACTGCTATGGCTCTGTCTCTCGTCTGCTTGCTGTGTTTTGCTGTATCTTTCCCGTCGCAGAGCAAGCAGCTATTTCTTGCCCAGTGGCATTAAGAGCAGATGTTTGGGGATGCCTCAGGCTTGAGGTTTAGACCTGAGAGGTTTTTCTAAGCTTGGACATGCGTTTTGCAGGGTTCTTCCTGTTAAGCATTGCCCCAGGCCTCCTGCCTGTAGGCAGAGTGATCCTTTACAAGGGGCAGCAGTGGTGTTTCAGTGCTCAGACTCCTGCTCCCAGGGCACGACACAGGCCCCATCCCTCTGACCTCCTCGAGGGTCTGTTGGTACATGTGGGTCCATGGCAGGAGGTGCCCTGGTGTTGGTGCCCAGCGAGTGGATCACGGGGTGCTGCAGTGCCCACAGACACGTGTGCCTGGCTCCGATGTGTGATGACCTGCAAGCCTGGCCTTGTTTCAGACCGCCTTGTCCTCTGTTTGACTGTAGGTGGGTGATAAGGTGATGGTCCTGGCGAAGTCGGGGCTCTGGCAAGAGGTGGTGAACGTTCCAGCCCGTCAGACTTTCCTGATGCCTGCGGGGATGAGCTTCGAGGAGGCGGCTGCTCTCCCTGTCAACTACATCACTGCCTACATGATCCTGTTCGACTTTGGAAACCTGAGACCCAACCAGAGTGTCCTCATCCACATGGCTGCAGGTAAACAGTCCTTGCCAGCCCGTGCTGAGGCTCTTGGCTTCAGTGTGCAGCCTCTGAACGGGTACCACGGGGAGGAAGCAATCAGAACAGGGCAGGACTGACCCCATTTCCCAGCAGCTGGGATCAGTCACCAGGGTGTCACAGACATCGGGTTGTTCCCTCCCCTCCCAGTGCTGTGCCCTCAGTCCAAGCAGGGATAATTTACCTCTCCCGGGGATGTTTGCCTCTAAGCCTTTCTCACTGCTGTTCTCAGGTGGTGTGGGAACTGCTGCCATCCAGCTGTGCAAGACCGTAGAAAACATCACCATTTTTGGCACAGCATCCGCCTCCAAGCACGACGCGCTCCGGAGCAGCGGGGTCGCTCACCCCATTGACTACAGAACGATGGATTACGTGGAGGAGGTCCGGAAAATCTCTCCCAAAGGTACCGGGTGCTGGAGGACTCGAACACCCGTCCTGCGTGTGTCCCCAGGGCAAAGAAACTCCTGGTTACTCTCGATTCCTTCTAGGTGTTGACATTGTCCTGGACCCCCTGGGAGGATCTGATACATCCAAAGCATTTAACCTCTTGAAGCCGATGGGCAAGCTCATCACTTACGGTGAGTGTGAGCAGAGTGTGCCCAAAGCCCCGCTCCTGGCAGCAGGCATGTGGATCTGCATGGGGTGCTCTGTGCCTGTTGCTCACTGCTGTGCGTGTAGTGCTGCTGTTTCACAAAGGAAGCTTTGCCTGAGGGCAGTGAGGTTTGTGCTGTGTTCCCAGAGCTTTGCTCACAGGCTCTTCCATCCCACGGTGAGATGTCTCTCCAAGTACGAGCCAGTGCCTGCAGGGGAAGCTGGAATGTCCTCACGAGGAGTGCTGGCACAGCTGCTTTGTCCAGGCTGACTTAATGCACAGCACTGATAGAGCCTTGCTTTTCTGCTGGAGGATGTGTGGGTGATGAGGTTTGAGGCTACTTAATACTTCTCTCTCCATTCCCCAGCCCTGGAACACTGTGATTTTGTCCCCCAGACAAAGCCCTCACACAACCCCCAGTGGGATTCCAGACACATGCACCAGTGTACGGCCTGCTGCAGCGTGTGGCTCCCCTGGGGAAGCCTGGCTGTAGAGGGGAGTGCTGTCCTGCCAGCCTGCCTGGATGTGACCTGTAACCCTCTCTTGCCTCTGCCAGTCCAGCTGTGCTGCTGCTGCCCTCCCAAGAGAGGAGTTGTTCTGTGTTTTGGTCATTTATGGGTGCCTATGAGCCAAGTCCTGCGTGCCCTGAGGCCGAGGCAGGTTCCTGCTTCCATGGGAGGTCAAATGGGCTGATCCTGACGTGATCCAGTTCTTGCCTCTGTCCTCCATCACTCTGCTTAGCTGTTGCCTTGCATAGAGTCTGAGCTGTTCCATGGGGTGCCTGCTGCCTCTCGGGCTGTGGTCATTCCAGCTCATCTGTGGCTTCCTTTCTCTTTAGGGGTAGCAAACCTGCTCACTGGGCAGAAGAAGAGCCTCGTGGCTATGGCTAAAACCTGGTGGAACCAGTTCAGCATCAATGCCTTGCAGCTCCTGCATCATAACAAGGCTGTGTGTGGCTATGACCTTGGCTCCATGGATGAAGAATTTGAGCTCATTGGGCGTGTTCTATCCAAGCTGGATAACCTTTACAGCCAAGGCAAAATCAAGCCCAAAATAGACTCCGTATGGCCTTTTGATCAGGTGAGTCTGAGTTAACATATAGGTTGGAGCACCCAGAAATTGCTGGGTGAGTGTATTGTGCACAGTGAGCTCTGGTTCAGTGTGAACACCTTGCTCAGGGGGGGGCTCAACTGTTGCAGATGTTTAATAACCATCTGTCCTCAGGTGTTCAGTGCTTTTGTCCTCAGGATGTTAAGGGGGAGTAAAGGGGCTGGGCTCTTTGCTCCAGTGCATAGAGCTGGGCAGCACCAGACAGCATCCCTAGGGAATAGGGCAGGTGCTCAGCTGCGCTCCATGCGCAGCAGCAGCCCATAGAGGGTCTGGGTTCTGCATCAGACTGGAAACTGTCCTGTTTGCAGCCTGTAACGGAGCACACAGCTGGGAATGCTGCTACTGCCCTTCCAGCAGGGAGACAGAGCCCAGGCAGTGAAGCGGAATGAGGACATTGGGAGTGGCAGTGTTCAGCAGCTCTGCTCTGCTGTTGCATCCATGTGTTCAGGCACATTCTCCCCTTGGGAATCCTTTGCTGGGGTAGGACTTAGTAACAATCAGTTGCTGTTCGTACCCATAGTCTGGTGCAAGTGCTTAAGGAAAAGTGATGAATCCAGGCCTGGCCCAGGTGCTGTTTTGCTTGCTAACAATAGACCCCTGTGCATGTTTATTCTGTGGGGCTGTGATGGTAGGAGCTCTGTCCTGGCTGTTGGCTGGGTTTCTGCAGTGCTCCCCTTTGAAAGGAAGCAGTGGAGACGTGCAGTTCACTTCACGGTTTGCAGAGCATCCTTCTTCATGTTGGAGCTGGTCTGTGTGAACCCATGAGCACAGTTTCTCACTGTCACATGGGGATCCCATGGGGATTTCTCATGTCCCTAGACTGGGGGAGCTGCCCAGCTCTGTCCAAAATGCTTCTGTGCAGAGGCACCCTGCCAGGAGAGCTGCCCCTGGATGGTCCCTGGACTAGTCTGGATGGACCAGGTACCCAGGAAGGGCCAGTGCATGGTGGGTGTGGGTCTCACGGGGTTCCTGCTGCTTCCAGGTGGCAGATGCCATGAGGCAGATGCAAGAGAAGAAGAATGTTGGAAAGGTCATCCTGGTTCCTGAAGCACCCAAGGAAGAGTCCAAAAAAGAAGAGAACTAAGGAGAAGAGATGGGTGCCGATTGTGAATTGGTGGGTTAACTCCTTGATCTCTTTGGGACCTGGAAATGGACAGATCAGTAGCTTCCATCTTCACCAGAACATCGTGGTTAACGTTCAGCCGAGGTTTGCATGCTTTCATTGTGACCGACCCCTTGCCCTCGCTGTCTGGTTTGAAGCCTGCTTATTTTGTACACTTTTACTCCTCCCTTGTTTCCCTACTGAGTTTCCAAACTAACCTCCTTTTCCCCTGGCAGTGCAGGTGAAGCTTCCAGCAGCTGGTGCTTAACATCGCTGTGGAGTCACGGTGTTAAATGCTGTAGGAACTGCCAAGGGTCTCCGCAGAGCCTGGTCCTGCTGAAGCCCTGCGCTGTCAGATGGGGCCAGGCTTGGGAAGTTGGCTCCGCAGCCAGAGCAAAAGCAGAGCTGGCCCAGTTTCGTTCCAGCACTGCCTGCTCTTCCCTTCACACTAAGCACACTCTTCCCTCTGCTTTCCTAGGCCTCTACCACCAGTCAGTTCATAACAGCCTGTGTTGCCTTTGCCTTCTAAATGACCCTCCTGGAGTCTAGGGCATCCTGCACTTCATTTGCAGTCGCTTCTCTGCGCAGCCAGCAGATAACCTGACAGGCTGGTCTGTGCCTGAATGCAAACGGTCCAATTGGGTAACTTGATCTTGTCTGTTTTCTGCTTCCAAACTGCATAGGGAGCTCTAAATTGTGTCTTGATTTTTAGAGACCGTAAGGACTCAGCTGTGTCTCAGATGACTGGAACAATTGATGTTGGCTCTGTGCTTTATTAATGTTGGGCTCCCAGCTGGTATTGTTAAGGCTAAAGTTCACCCTCGTGTTTGTGTTTCCAAGGGCTGCAGTGTTGAGCCAGACTTTAGCAGGATGGGAACAGAACAAGCCCCTTAATGCTTGCTTTTCGGTGTGTGCTGGGTAGGGGCTGCAGCTGGGGGAGTGACTTGCAAGAACCAGGCCTGTAAGCACTTCCCAGGAGCCTGGGCTGGCTCCTCTCTGGCGTGCTGCTCAGGGGAGGTTATTGCTGTAGGTGGCAAACAGCCCAGCTCTGCCAAGCCTCTTGGCCTGGGCATCTCGAGCAGCTGAAATAGTGCTTTCCATCCTCCTCTTGCTAGCTCGGTAGGTACCCACTCGAACCAGCTCTCAGCTCGTGATGCAGTGCTGCGGCAGGGCTCGACTCTTCTTCCTCTGAAACTGCAAGTCATGGGACTCTTGGGCTCTCTTCCAACGCTGAGGGCTCAGGAGCTGCCTGGGATGCTCCTCCCAGGCCAGAACTCCAGTTTCTCCTTCCTTTCTTCCGTGCATTTGGCAATGGAGCTGTGCAGAGCCCTGAGCCCAGTGCTGTGAGCACTTACCCTGGGTGGTGCTTCCCCTTCCTGCTGGACCGTTTGCAGCCCGGAGCAGGCTGAGATGCAGCTTGTGGCTGCCTCGAGGCTGTGCCGTGGGCTGGGGGTGCTGCAGGCTTTTAGGCTTCGTTTTGGATTCAAAAAGGTAAACGTGAGGGCACCAAGAAGAGCTGCCTATTGTGGCAGACCCTTGCTACCGGGAGTCCTGCTTACCCAGCCCCCAAGGAGGGGGTGAAGGACCCCATATGCTGAAGAGCATCACTATGCAGGGCTGGGGCTTCTGTGCAGGTGAGGAGGGTCCAGCTCCATCCTCCTGTCAGTGTTGTTTTGCAGGTGCTTAGGCCCTAGTTCTTTAGCAGAGCACAGGCACAGCCTCTGGGGACCTTGCCCTGGCTCTGCTGCTGCTGAGCCAATACACTGAGACCAAATGAAAGCTGCTGTTCAGTTAAAGCTCCATCGCCTGCAGATTTGGGTGTCACATGGATTTGTCTCTACCAGAATTCATCCTTAAGGTTATGGCCAGTGCTCCAAACCGTGCAGTCACTCACCTAACAAAGGGAGGGCTTTGGCCTTGAGGAGCTTCCTTGGGTGCATCCTGACCCTTAGGGGAGAGTCCTTGGCTGCAGGCTTGCTGCTCCGAGCAGGACCAGCTCAGAAAGCTGCTCTGGCAGGGCTCCATTTGCACCCCAGCCAAATGTGATCTGTGGTAGCCCCCCCTTGCCTGAGGACCCCAGCTTCCCCACTTTGTACCCGCTGCCCACCATCATGGGGGCAGGACAGGAGCTGGGGTGGGAAGGCTTCACGGGGTTTGTTTGGTCTCTGCCATGGTGGGAGCACCTGGCACATGAAGCGTTAAACCAACCCCATTCCCTTGGAGCCCAGAGGAGGCTGGGGCCTGCCACCCATCCTTGTCAGTCCCTCTCCTGCGCTCCCGACATGAACTTCACCGACGTGGTCTAATGAAACAAGCACAAGTTTGAGCCTTTCTGAATCCAGAATCCTGCTGCTTCTCCTTTCAGCCTGCCCTCTCCTGCCAATTCACATTCGGTCCAGCAGAGCCTAATGCTGCTTTACCGGCTCTGACAACAGGAGGACTGTCTAAATTGCTAGAATGGGAAGTCTGGACCCGTTCCTCTGAGAACCCAGACTTCACCTTGATGCTCACACGCAGCACAGCCCTGCCACCTTCAGGTTCTGCACACTTGGAAAGGGGACCACTCTCCCACTGTCTGTCCCAGCACCATCCTCTCCTCGCTTTACTCTCGGCCAAGCGTGTGCTCAGTGCCTTACTTGGATGCTCTTGGATCAGGCAGCATAGAAAGGCTCTCGCAGGCTGTCCCTCCCCATGCAGCTTCCCATAGGACACCTCTGCCGTGCTGCCTTGTGCTCCACCTCAGAAAACAGTATCTCGGTGCCTTCTTCTACATGCCTGTAAGGACTAGGAAGTCACTGGAGCCTTTTCCATGCTGGCCTTTCAAAGTATTGCCAAAAACCCGCTGTGACTTTTGCTAGCTCTCTTTTGTGAACACTAGTGATGTAGTCTGACTTGCCGTGGACGAGGCGCTCCCTTTTGGGGTGTTACAGCCCTCCCAGCCTGGGGTCCTGTGCTCCCCAGCCCAGAAGAGCTCCGTCGAGCCCTTGCCTCCCCCAGGGCAGCTGCTCGGCTTTAGGCAGTCCTTGAGCAAGGCTTTATCTGCTGCCTTGGAATCAATTCCAGCTCCCGACTCCCTTCCTGTAGCTGCTCATGTGTTCTCCCTGCACATTCCTGAAGCCCTTATCGGGGCCAGAGAGCTGAGCAGTTACTATTGGTTTGTGTTTAGCGCTGTCTGTTTCATGTCCCTTGGTAGCACCAGTGTTTTTCTACAGAAAGCCAGGATTAAGTGTAACCTTGCTCTCCCCCGCCTCACTCACACTGCTCCCCTCGATGGGTTGGGTTTGTTTGGGGTTTTGGTTTTTTTTACCTTATTTTTTTTAATGGATATTTTATGGGCTAAGAAGTATAGACCCGACGTACAACAACTCCAAGTGTCTTAACTCCATGTTAACCAGCAGGTTTGTGTATAAGGACCAAAGCAAAAACCAAACGAAACCCCAGGATCCAGAATCATTCTGTTCACTGTTAACTGCTTAGGGCAGAGCGAGGAGACAGGAGCTTCCTGTGCTCGGCGGCAGGGTGCCATTCCAGCTCCAACAAGTGCCATTTAGTGTTTCTGTTGCTGATTGCCTGATCCAAAGGTTGTGGTGAGGGGTCCGAGCGAGCAGCTCATGGCAGGAGCAGCGTGCCCAGCCCTGTCCGCTGTGGCTGCTCAGTGCAGGGGTGCCTGTGCAGGGCCATTTACTGCAGGCGCCTCCCCAGGCTGCTCTGGGACAAAATGCAACCCCTTTGCTATCACCAGGCTGCTTCTGTCGTGTTTCTGACTCTGGATTCTCTCGAGCTCGCCTGCGTTGCAGCTTCTGTTTGCATAGAGGAGCGTGATCCCTGCCAGATACGTTTGAGCTGGAGGAAGGAGTTCAGCTGTACCGCTTTGGGCAATGGTATTAAACTAGAATCGGTTGAGCAGGGAGAAGTAAGAAGCGCTGTGGGCCTCAGGCTTTGACTGGTGCAGGATCTTGGCCCACTTACAGCTGCTGTCAGAGGTGTGAAGCCACACTGTTGTCTAATGAAGGCTCCAGTGTGCCAAGCCCCGGTGATGGCAAAGGGGACCGGCGAGTGATGTGAAATGCATTAGACTGAGCCTCTCGCAGCATCCAGTGTGGTCTGTGCTGTCCGAGTTGTGTTGGTTTGGAGTGTGACGTGAGTGAAACTCATCCTACAGCCACGTGGCAAATCTTTGTATTCCGCTTTGTGCGTGTAACCAAGGTGGACAGAAAGCAAGTGTGCCAATGCTGTTTACATGACCATGCTGTGTAACGCTCTTCTGTCTGATGTTACCATATGCCTTATGTGTTTCAGATGTTAATTAAAAGCATAACAACCCACCCTGCCCGTGGTCTGCTGCTGTTGGAATGAACCCTCTGCCCCAGCTCTGCCTCTTCCTTCCCCAGGCAGGCAGTGTGTGGATGCAGTCAGTTTACTTCCCAAGGGAGAGAACACACCTCTCCTCTCAAGGACTGCTCCCTGGTTACTCCACTGTCGCAGTGATGCTCTAACACCCTGGACTAGAGGGCACCTGTGCGTGTGTGTGGCAAGCCATTAGCTGCTCTCTGCCCTTCACTCTGTGCCTGGGTGTCTCTATAGCCAGCTGAGGTTGAAGCAGGTGCCTGGGGTGATAACAAGGTGTGACCAACCCCTAAAACTGTGGGGATAAACGTTGTTTATTGTGTGCCTGCAGGTACAGGCGGGGACAGGCTCTATGGTCCCATGGAGGCATGGTCCATGGGGTGCTCCCCCAGCAGAGCAGCAGGGTTCCTGCTGGCCCCAGAGCAGGGCTGGAGCTCGGCGCTGGTGGCTTTAGGACTGCACCATCTGCCCGAGCTGAGGCAGGCTCCTGCCCTGGTTTGGGTCGTGCTGCTGGAATCCACGTCAGGGCTCAGCCTGACACAAGCTGCATAACTGGCTGCTGAGGATGCGCATCCCGGGCTTGCAGGGGAGCTCTGGTCCATGCTGAGGCTGGGGATGGAGGTGCCTCTGGGGCCGCAGGAGGACAAACATGAGCTCTCTCTTGAGCTGCCTGTGTTAAGCTGCACTTGTTTCAGCTGGAGAGGAAGGTGAAGCATGGTGGGAGCTGTGGCTGCTGCACAGGGAGGCTCATGCAATGCCCAGTTTCTTCAGTACAGTGCAAACCTCCCGGAGATACAGGGCATCCGGATAACCATTCCTGTGGGGCAGAGAGGGAAGTGGTGTGAATCCTGCTGATGGTGCTAAAACCACCTTCCGGAACCTTCCTGTTCCTTCCAGTACAGGAAGAGGGGAGCGCAGTCTATTTTTGCCCCATGCATTCAGCAGGGCTGGGAGTGGAAGTCACAGCTTGCACCCAGGGCTGGCTGCAGAGACACGGGGAAAGGCAGGGGAACTGTGAGTGAATGGGGCCCAGAATTCCCATCCATAGGGAGCTTAAAGGTGTGGGATGGGCAAGGGCTTAGCTCCAGATGGAGGGGGTCAGAGCAGAGTCCCCAACTGCTGCTGTGGGAGCCTGGAAGAGCTGCTCACTGCAGGATGGGGTGAGCTGGAGCCCACGGTTCTCCCCCTTCAATTGCTGCTAGAAAACCCCACACCTGGAAACTTGGGATGAGCTGGGCCATACCTGGCTTTGCCTCCATCCCAGGAGGTTTTGTGGGGGATAAGGCCCCATGTCACTCTTTCCTCGCCATTGCAGGACTTGATGTGAAACGTCAGCCCACAGTCAAATGCCTTCTTCAGAAGCACTGCTGTCTTCTGCCCCTCCCTGTTGTCCGGCAGGAAGGCACAGAAATGCCCCCCTTTGTAAGGCTGGCCTGGGTGGGGGTCACCAACCTTGGAAGAGGAAGAACACGTTTTAAACAACCACCTGAGTGCTGTGCCTCGGGGCTGGCCTCCTAGTGACCTGGAACTAAAGCAGAGCTTACAGCACGCTGCTCCCAAACCTGGAGCAGAGCCACCCTTCAGCACCTCTGCTGCCTTGCATGTGGGGCATGGAGCCCGAGCTGCCCTCCTCCCCCTGCCACACAGCCCCTCTCTCCCACCCCAGCCACACTGCACGTCCTGCACGCAGAACCCATCACATAGAATCATAGAATAGTTCGGGTTGGAAAAGACCTTAAGATCATGCAGTTCCAACGCCCCTGCCACGGGCAGGGACACCTCACACTAAACCATGGCACCCAAGGCTTCATCCAGCCTGGCCTCAAACACTGCCAGGGATGGAGCATTCACAACCTCCCTGGGCAACCCATTCCAGTGCCTCAGCGCCCTCACAGGAAAGAATTTCCTCCTTAGATCCAATCTAAACTTCCCCTGTTTCAGTTTGAACCCGTTACCCCTTGTCCTGTCACTACAGTCCCTAATGAAGAGTCCCTCCCCAGCATCCCTATAGCCCCCTTCCTGCAGCGGGCTGGGGAAGCCGCAGCAGCGGTACCTACCCCTTGCACACCGTCAGGGATGATGTAGACAACCTGGAGCGTTGGGTCTCGGTAGTAGCCCGGCAGACTCTGAGACAAGGAGGAGATCTGGAACTTCCCCGGGATGCTGCAGCCCGGGGTAAGCGTGGAGACGCTGCAGCAGGGCGGCTGCGGGCTGTCCCCTGCGAAGCACGTCCTGCACAGCCAGTGCCCGCAGCGCGCCGCGCAGGTCACGGCTGCGCCATGGCAGGCATCGCAGCGGCCCGGAGCCATCCTGCTGCTTTCCTGCCCCGGGCTGGGGCCTCTCCCCTGCCCCTCCTGAGCACTGCTCCTGCCTGCAGGGAGCAGAGCCCTGTCTGGGGCCAGGGCTGCAGCCTCCATGGGCCTGCACAGGCGGGCGGGCAGGGAGTGAGGAGCCCCATCCACTGCAGGCACTGGGGAGCGCAGCCATCCCATCGCCTCACCGTGGCTTCCTCTGCTCTTGGCTCTTGCAAACTGGAACCTGTCCGGCAAAATCTGCCTCAGCCGTGCCGGGTCCGGCTCCCCCACAGGCAGTTTGGTCTTCAGCTGCTCCTGGGGCTCGCTCAGACCGGTGGGACTGGAGTTATCCACCACAGCAGGGCTCAGGTCGCCTCCCTCTTGCTCAGCCCCAGAATCAGCACAGTCATTGGCATCCTCCTGCCCCAGTGTGTGCTGGAGCCCCCAGAGGCTTGGGGACCTCTCAGCCGGGTTAACATCTGCAAGCTCTGCTGTAGCACTAATGGTCAGGTCCTGCAGGTCCATCTGTAGGGACTCGAGGCTACCAGGAAGGGCTGCACCCAGCAGCGTGTCCTGGCTCCTGCTTGGCTGGACAGCACTAGGACAGCCTGTACTCTCTGCTCCTGGAGACTTCAGGGCAGGTTGCCTTCTGGAAGAAAACACTTGAAAGGCCTCAGTCACTCCTGGCAGCATCTCCTTGGGGCAGGCAAGGTACAGGTTGTACTTGTCTTTGCTGAACCCAACCTGGAAGGAGTTTCCTCGCAAGAGGCTGCATAGTTCACTGAGGGCGCTGTCATCCGGGCCATCCACAGCGAGCTCTGAGTAGCTCATACTCTGGCACACGAGGTCAGGACACTTCCTCACCAGAGCTTCCACTTTCCATTTGGCCTGGAAAAGCTTCTCCCTACCCTCTGCCTGCAGCGTGAGCACGGTGCAGTCGCCAGCGCGATGCTCCGAGAGCTGCACCTCCCCATCGCTGCACAGCTCGGCCACAGCGGCGCGGTGAACGTCCTTCAGGTAAGACCACTGCAGGGAGTCCAGGCTCATCTCCTGCCTCATCGCCGTGCCCTGCGGCTTCTCGCTTTCCTTTGATCTGGGCAGGGAGAAGCTGTTGGACCGTTGCAGGAGAGGCTTGGATTCGGAGGGTTTAGAGGTCCTTGTTGTGTCAAAGGCACTGGATGTGCCAGCAAGTGAGTGATGCTTGATGGGACCAGAGCCTTTAGAGTCTCTGTTGTCTTTGTCCCCAGAAGCAGACAGAGCCTTGTGTCTTGTAAGCCTGGCACCTCCTTTCATCTGCTCCCATTCTTTGGGGTCCTGCTGCTGAGACTCTGCTGCTGCCCCCAAATCCACACCTGCTGTAGAGGCACCGGGCTGGTACCGCTGGGTCAGTGCCATTGGGTCACTTGGCCGTAGAGCATCCGTTTGCAGTGGGTGTTTTCCAGAAGGCCCCACCGGCGGGGGGTCCTGAGACCTCTCAGCTTTCAGGGTGCTGAAGCTGGCAGGTGGTCTGAGCTCGTCTCTCAGCTTCGGCCTGCCTGGGATGAACCTTGAGGCTGAGGTGCCTGCGGGCTCCCTGGGCTTGGGCAGGGTATTCTCTGTGGTTGGCTGTGAGGGCAGGGAGCTGCTGACCGTGGCCTGTGCGGCGCCTCTTCTGGCACTGAAATCCCGAAGATACTGCTTGGCCTCGGACACATCGACGAGGTTTCCAATAAGGTAAAGCTGCTTCACATCCTCATGGCAGAGCAACTGGGGATACAGCTGCTGCAGCTCGTGTGTCAGCGCCCTGAGAGCCTGGCTGTCCATACCCAGTCCTCCCTTGGTGATCTTCTCCTTGCGTAAGCTCACCTCCAGCTGCTGGTAAAGCTTCTGCAGGGCCAAGCGGGCCTCTCGCAAGGCACCCATGTCCCCAGCCATCCCTGCAGCGGGATGGAAGTAGAGCATGGCGATGCCATCGCTGCTGACATCCACCACATCCACACCATGCTGCTGCAGCACGCCCTGGTACTCGGCAGCACAGAACCTCTGCATGTACAAGTAAATGTCTGAGTCCATCACTAGGGAAAAGTCCTCCAGGTGCTCCACAGCTTTCCCATCCACAGGTCCCCAAGGCGATGGAGCTCTACCCGGTTCTTCACATGCCTGGTCCCAGTTCAGGACCTTTGCTGTGTCTTGTGCTGACTCAGCAGAGTCAGGCTCTTGCTGGGGATCAGGGATTCTGGTCTCTTTGGCCACATGGCTGGAATCTGGCAGGAGGATCTCTCCAGCAGCTTGGCTCTTGAGGTTCAGGCTGCCCAGCAGCTCTCTGTTGAAGGCCTGCAGCTCAGTGAATGGCCCCTTGACTATGCAGTGGGCATTCTTGGAGTCAAAGTTGAGCTGCACATTGCTGTAGCCTTTATACAAGTTCCTCAGGAGGGCTTTGCCAGTAGGAAGCTTGCCATAGTCAACTATCACGGAAGCATATAAGAAGATCTGCAAGTAGATAGCAAAGGAGTGAGAGAAGGATGAAAAATACCCCCCTCCAAGGCAAGGGGGAGGCAGATGCACCCAACGCTTGCCACAGCCCCTGTGTTATTATGGCAGAAAGACGACGTGACCCAAACACCTCTCAGCATCCTGCTTTCACAGGAGATGGGAGCCAGCACAGGCAGGACTGGGAGCCCCAGGGAGCCCAAGCAGCTCTTGGACCTTGTACACACGGTCAAAAGCTTTCTGCAAGCAGGGAACACGAGGGGTGAATAGCAGAGAGCTGCAGCTCCACGTCTGCCCCCTGAGAGCTCTGCATGCAGCTCGCACCCCAGAACGCCATTGTCCCTCTTGCGTCTGCAATGCAGCTGCTCTCCCGCTCCCCCAGGGCTTCAGCTGCAGACTTTCAAGCACCACGGCCTTGCAGAAGGGTCTGCAGTTCCAGGCTAACTCCCATGCCCCTCTTGTCAGCGCTCAGACACGAAGACACAAGATGCGGCTGCTGCTGTGCTCTGCTGAAACCGCAGAAAGAGGGAAGAGCTCCCCAGCGCCTCCTAACACCAGCCCGTCTCCAAAGCTGTGCTGAGCAGGACACAGGAGCAGCACACTGTGCGTGTCCAGCTAATGACAAGCAAGGGCATTAATAGGATCTCCCAGTTGCCACCAGATGGGCTAGGGGAGAAGCGCCCCTTCCCTCCGGTCTGTTCTTCCTCACTTTGACAGACACAAACGCCATTGAGCGTGTGCCCGGCCTGTCCCTGTGCCACCAGCATGGAAAAGATTCCTCCTTTGACTAGGAATAAAAGTGGCTTTGCCTTAAGTCTCATTAAGGGTAAAGGAGAGCGCGAGGTCTCCCTTTCCCCAGCACAGGCCCAGCGGCAGCGGGGATGCCACGGCCACGTCTGCTCCGCGCTACCTCATCGGGGCTCAGCTCCGCGGCGTGCGCCGTCACTTCCAGCGGGTATTTGTCCCCTCCGATGGACAGGACGTGATTCTTTACCTTCAGGATCCTCTGGGCCACTGGGTGGGAAAAGCACCGGCATCAGCCCAGCCCCGCGCCGTGGGGCAGCAGCACCGCCCCTTCGCGGACCACACGGGGCAGGGGGGTCCGGGAGCGGGCAGAGCCCACGGGCCGGTCCCTCGAGGGGCCGTTACCTTCCGGCGTCTCGAAGGTGACGAGGGCGCAAACCTGACGCCCGTCCCTTAGCACCTGCACGTCGGCGATCTCGCCGCCGCCGTTGCGGGAGCGCAGGAAGTGGATGGTCAGCTTGTCGGCCACCCTGTCGGGGGGCAGCTCTGCGGGCAGGCCCCCGACCCGCACCGTGCGGCCCGCCATGCCTGCGCCGAGCCCCCGCACCGGCCGCCAGCCCCGGCGCCGGCTCCGACCCCCCCCGCACCTCGGTGCTTGACCCCGGCCCCGCTCCGGCTCCGGCTCCGCCGGGAAACGAAAGCGAAACCTGCCCCGGCCCCGCCCCGAGCCCGCACCTCCCGCCCGGCCCCGGCAGCGCGGACCCGCCGCTCCCTGCGCACGGTTTCATCGCTGCTCCGCGTCCTCCGTGAACGCGGCCACCCCGTGGCTGCCCGCCGGGACGTAACCGACCGAGTCCATCTCCCCCCCGCCGCTGCTGGGCTTCTGCATCTCCCGGATGTCCCTCATGGGCTCCTCGCTCAGCACGTCCGGGATCCCCGAGAGCAGGACGGTCCGGGGACAGCGGGAGGGCTGGAGCTGGGCAGAGCGGGGTGAGGAGCGGGGCTTCAGGAGCCCCCCGCTCTGCCTGGCCCTGGGCTGGCACCAGGGCCCGGGCTCTTACCTGCAGGTCTGAGGCCTCCCCACTCAGGCACGGGGATATTTTGAGCTCGTATGTTTGCTTCCCCAAGGGCACCTGGATGCGTCCTCTCTCAAGCAGCAGCTCTGCCACTGCCAGGGTGGGGAGGAAAGCCCTGGGTCACCCAAAGCCCCACTGAGCTCCTGGGGAGGTGACAGCCCTGGCACAGACACTGAGGCTGGCACTGCCCAGCCTCAGCTCTCCTGCACCAGCAGCCTCGGGAGGGACGGGAGAGCCACAGCTCGCTCTGCCCTCCCCGCTCCCCAGACACAGCTCCATCTGCTCCCAGGACATGACCTGTGCTCAGCCCTTCTCCCCAGCCCATCTCCAGATCCTTCCAGAACTTCTTCCTTTTTTCTTCCAGTATCTTGCTCAGCATCTGATACCTCTGCATCAGTGTGTTCTTCATCTCCCTTGCTAGCAAAACGCTGTCCTGCAAGGAAGGAAAGAGGAGGCAGCAAGGGAACCACCCAGACACGCATGCACAGCCCTGTGCTTGGACACAGCTCCACTTGCACTGATTTTCTGCTCTTGACTGCCTGCAGCCCTGCCCTGGCTCCTCACATTCGGTCACAGCCCTCCACTGCGCGGCACAGGCCTCATGTGATGCCCTGCGAAACCTCCACCGGGTCCAGAGCAAAGCAGTGTGCCCAGCAACACATCCCCTCCACCCAACTGCCACCTTGCCAAGCCCGGGATGCTCTGCTCACCAGCCTGGAGGCAGATCTCTTCTTCTCTCTTGAAATACTTTTGCTGCTTAAAGTTTTCATGCAGATGTTCCCTCTCTTTCCTCAGCCCTCGTGTCCTTTGCTCGACGGCTCCCGTGGCCGTTTGTAGGTTCACGTGGTCTTGCTCCAGTGCGCTGCAAAGCTCCTGTGAGAGGTTCCATCAGTGACACCCTGCAGCATCCCCCGGCTGTCCGGCCCCAGCACACGCTGCTTTTGGCAGCCCCAGCCCCGCCTCCCCTAACCCCCCCCCCTTAACCCCCGACTCGCAGCCCGGAGGCACGGAGGAAACCCAAGCTCCCCGCACCTTGCAGCGCTCTATCTCCTGCCGGACGTGCTCGGCGGTGAGGCCCAAGGAGCCGGGGCCGGGGCCCGGGGGGCAAGGCAGCTGCACGAAGGAGTCCTAAAGGCAAGCGAGGTCTCAGGGGAGGGGGCACCGGGCCCTGCGCCCAGCGCCGCGCCGAGCCCCGTGGCTCAGCCTTCACCTCCTCCGATCCCATCCCCGCTTTCGCTTTCGCACCCGGCCCCGCCTTTCCTCTTCTTTCCGCTTCCCGCAGCAGCCCCGGGGGCTGCCTCCCCCCGTACCCGTTCGGCAAACGGCACCCACGGAGCCAGCCCGAAACTGGACACCCACTGGCACATCACCGCATGGCATCGCCGAGACACAGACACCGGGAGCCCTCGGTCCCGCACCCGCATCCCGATTCACACCATTTTGGGCACTGGGGATTCCCAGCAAGGGCAGAACATTCCTCACCCCTGGGCAGAAGGGGAGAGCAGAGCTGCTCCAGAAGAGTCCCACACTCTCCACAGACACCCTAAAGGCTCCAAAGCTCTCCCCGACCCCAGAGCAGGATCTTCTATGATGGGGCTATGGAACTGATGGACAGGGGTAGAGCAGTTGATGTCATCTCCCTGGACTTGTGCAAAGCATTCAACACTGTCCCACATGACATCCTTGTCTCTAAATTGGAGAGACATCAATTTGATGGATGGACCACTGGGTGGATAAAGAACTGGCTGGATGGCCGCACACAAAGAGTTGTAGTCAATGGCTCAATGTCCGGCTGGAGACCAGTAACGAGTGGTGTCCCTCAGGGATCAGTGTTGGGACCGGTCTTTAACATCTTTGTCGCTGCCATGGACATGGGACAGTGGGATTGAGTGCGCCCTCAGCAAGTTTGCCGATGACACCGAGCTGCGTGGTTCAGTTGATACCCTGGAGGGAAGGAATGCCATCCAGAGGGACCTTGACATGCTTGTGAGGTGGGCTGATGCCAACCTCATGGGGTTTAACCCTGCCAAGTGCAAGGTCCTACACCTGGGTAGGAGCAATTTGAGGCACAGCTACAGGTTGGGCAGAGAAGAGATACAGAGCAGCTCTGTGGAGGACTTGGGGGTGTTGGTTGATGAGAAAATGAACATGAGCTGGCTTCAGTGTGTGCTCGCAGTCCAGAAACCAACCGTATCCTGGGCTGCATCAAAAGGAGCGTGACCAGCAGGTCATGGAGGTGATCCTGCCCCTCTACTCTGCTCTTGTGAGACCTCACCTGGAGCATTGTGTGCAGTTCTGGTGTCCTCAACATAAAAAGGACATGGAAATGTTGGAACAAGTCCAGAGGAGGCCACGAGGATGATCAGGGGCTGGAGCACCTCCTGTATGGAGACAGGCTGAGGAAGCTGGGGCTGTTCAGCCTGGAAAAGAGAAGGCTGCGTGGAGAACTCATAGCAGCCTTCCAGTATCTGAAGGGGGCTATAGGGATGCTGGGGAGGGACTCTTCATTAGGGACTGTAGTGATAGGACAAGGGGTAACGGGTTAAAACTTAAACAGGGGAAGTTTAGATTGGATATAAGGAAGCAGCTCTTTCCTGTGAGGGTGATGAGGCACTGGAATGGGTTGCCCAGGGAGGTTGTGAATGCTCCATCCCTGGCAGTGTTCAAGGCCAGGTTGGATGAAGCCTTGGGTGCCACGGTTTAGTGTGAGGTGTCCCTGCCCATGGCAGGGGGTTGGAACTGTATGATCTTAATGTCCTTTCCAACCCGAACTATTCTATGATTGGCACCAGAGAGGACAAGGCCCAACACTATCACTTCTTTTATGCAACAAACCAAAATGGGGTTTAATAAACATTTATTGATGCAACCTGGTTACACCTTTAGAATCGCAGCTTCTGGAAGAACCACTTGTTCTTGCCCGTCTTATACCTGAAACAGGAAGACAAAGAGATCAGAAAATGCTCTCATCCTCGCACCCGAGCCGTCCCCATCCCCCAAGGCTCCCCCAGGGGCAATGCAGCCCATGTCCTCCAGCAGGCTGCAGCCAGAGCTGCTGTGCACAGCCCAGCTCCCACGGGAAGAGGTCAGCTCCCAGCTTTGTTCTCATCCTCATGAAGGATGCCCACACTCTGGCAGGTCCCCCCTAAAAGACACGCGTGGCCGTGCCGCTCCTGCTGCTGAAGGAGCCTCTGAACAGAAACTGAGAAGCATCATCAACCCAAATGCCCCTGGGCCAAGCCCTGGGACACCAGCACCGCGATGCCAAGACCATCACCTGCTTGGTGCTGGCACAAGGCTGCAGCACTGCCCCAAACACGGAGGTTTTCCCTGCCCCAGTGCAGCAGCTCCCAGGCAGACGCCCCACAAGCTCATGGAGGAGAGAAGGACACCCTCAACCCAAAATGTATCCAAGGTAGCTGGGGCAGAAGTGTCCAGCCTGGGACTGGCCACGCCGAGCCCTCACCCTGGGGCTGGGTGGTGACACCATGAAGAGATGAACTTCCAACTCACCTTTCCTCAAACTTCACCTTGGCTTCACGTCTTGCTTTGCGCTTTAGAGCAGGGTCCCTGAACACATCCTTGTTGACCACTGTTTTGTCCAGTGGAATATCAACGGAATACCTGGATGAGAGAGCAGCAACGCTGGGAAAAGCCATGGCACTGGGCACAGACGTGAACACAGCCGAACCGGGCAGCGCAGGGACAAGAGCTGGGATGAGCAACCACAGCTCCTAAAGCCCCTCAGGTCAGTGAACCACCCGAGCACCCGGTAACGTGGAATTCAGGCTGGAACGCAGCGCTGTGTGCAGGGCAGGCAGCTCCAGCTGAGCTCCATGGGGATGGGAAGAAACACGTCCAGGCCATGCCAGCTCTGCCGGCAGCCCGCACCTCTGCAACTGCCTCAAAGGCACATCCACCAGCACCCATGACCAACAGGGAAGTGAGTGAGGCTGAGGAAGGAACCGGCTGCTTTATTTTGGATGATCGCTAATACCTCCCCCCCTCAGCATCGCACCCCCAGACCCTGTCTCGGGCCCCACTTTTATCCGGTCACATAACGAAAAGCCTCAACAGCTCCAGCACTCATTGGAGGGAACGCAGGAGAACAGCGACTGCGGGCAGCAGCCGAGGCTCCCCCAGCCCCGCGGCAGCACTCACCGGGTGGGCATCAGGTGGTTGTAGTTGTAAACCTTCACGAAGGACTTGATCTTGGACCTCTTCGCGATCTTCTTCTTGCCCATGGCGGCTGTCACCTTACGCGGGTAGCGGTCGATGCCCGCCACCAACGCGTGGCTGTAGGGCCGGTCCGAGGTGCCATCGTCGATGTTCTGCAACACACCGAGAGCAGCCGGCGATGGCACCGGGGACGCCTCCCGGACCACACCGCGGCAGCCCCGCGCTCACCTTCACGATAACGGCCTTGCGGCCCGAGTAGCGCCCGGCCAGCACCAGCACCACCTTCCCCGGCTTCATGAACTTGCCCATCTCTGCGGAGACACCGTGCGGGAGTCACGGCCGGGCCCGCACCGCCCCCGGCCCGCTCCGTGCCGCGGATGGCGGCGGATGCCGCGCCCGGGCCCGCACTTACCGGAGCTCCCACAGCGATGGCGCCCAGGCCGGAAGAGAAAGCGGCGGCCGCCCCGCCCACCTTTCACCGTGCGTCACTTCCGCTTCCTTCAGGAACCGGTCGCGCTACCCATGCCGCCGTTGCCGGGCAACAGGCGGGGGCACCGGTCCCCGGTCCCCGGTCCGGTAACGGGGTGGGGCATCACCGGTGACCACCCCAGCACCGAGTCCCCGCTCCCGCTGTTAACACCGCGGAGCCGGCGAGCCAGCACCCACCGCGCGACGGCTGGCGACGGACGCACAACACGGGCACCGGGTCCTCGCACACGGACACTTGCTAAAGCAGTTTAATGCACCCCTAGGAAACAGCGGGCCGCCGGTGTGTGCGCTAAAGCTTGGGAAAAGGGGCTCGGGGAGGGCTGGGCAGAGAAACCGGGGGAGCGACACGGCCCCCCCCCGGGCAGCTCTGCCCCGGTTTTCCCCCACGTTCACAGCAGGGAGGGCAAGCAACTGCCTCGGTCTGCGGGACAGACTTGTAGGGCAGCATTTAGAGCAGAGGCAGCACAGGGGCCAAGCTGCAGCTGCTCAGGGCTCTGTGGCCGCCGCCAGCCCCACACACTGAGCACACACCAGCAAAGGGGTTTTGCTCTTCAGGGCTGCATAAAAGGGGCAGGGTGAGGTGCAGTACAGCAGCAGCCGTGTAAACACGCAGATTTCCAGCATCGAGACACCATGAGATTTCCCTAAAAGCAAGTATCAATTTGAAAGAGCCGAACTCAGTCTTAAAAAAGCCAGGCTTTGAGCCCGGCAGCTGCCCTGCTTGTGGAAAAGGGATGATGTACAATAAAAATCCATCAAAAAGCATCTTTGATGTTTTTCAGCTGCCGGACAGCCAGGTCTACTGGGAGGTTGAATTTCAAGTTGCTTAGGCGACTGAGAACGTTGAGCGCGCTCTCGAAGCCTGTGTTTGCCATGTAGCTCCACGGCTGGTAGTGGGCCTGTACCAGAGCTCCAGATTTGCAGATGAGATTCACCCAGGAGACCAGGCGCTGCTCGTTCAGCGCCATACACACCAGCGCCTTCAGCTCCGAGTCCGCGCTGCGCTTGAAGGGGTCATGCTCCGTGAGGACAGTGTGAATCGCTGTCAGCAGGCTCTGTTTGGGTGTCACAGCCATGCCTCCTGTCACAGGCAAGGCAAAGGACTGGGAGAGTTTGCGAGCCGGGGATTCCACAAAGGCTTGTCCGTTCTTCGTGTTGTAATACTTCACAAAGAGCTCCCAGGGGTGCATGCTCTGCGGCGAGGAGGTGAGCGCAGGAATCAAGCACGCGATGGGTGCCAATACCAGGCTCATTCCTTGGGAAGAGGCGTAGAGCCCATGAGCCATCAGGTCTCGCAAAGCGATGGTCAGCTCCTTCCGCACAGCCAGAGTCAGCTCGTCCCTGCCTCCCAAGGGAATGTCCTGCAGGTCGGAGGAACTGATAACGTGGTCTTCCTGCTGGTACTTCACTGCCAGCTGCCTCACCCGCTCTACCGACAGCTCCAGTTTCTTGATTAAGGGGGAATAGTCCTTGTTGTCTTGGTCCTTCTGCCAGAGGGTGCGAGGAATCTCACCCGTAGCACAACCAAACTGACTGACAGCAAATATCTGCAGCACAGCAAGCATGCGACGCATGAGGTGCAGGCCTGTTTCTCTCACCTTTCTGGCATCTTCTGGGTTCACTGATCAGGTTAGACAAGAGAAAAATAAACTTTATCATCAAGGAATCGACAGCTCTGCTCTTTCAGACACACAGAGGCTCCTCCTCCATCACAAGTTCTCCTCCTCGGAGGCTTTTGGCACTAGGACTGATGCTACTCTTTCTAGTTTCAAAGCACTGAAACCCACCAGAAAAGCAAACATTGGCGTGGCCTGTTCTCAACAATGAGGTCATCTTACAGAGAGGAAATCCTACAACAGGCTTCCCAGTGAGCATGCACACAGTGAGGAAAGACCACTCTGTAGACATGACCATACCACATGGATAATTAGGAGATACAAAAACCTTTGCTGATGGAGATCACTATTTTCAAGCAGCGCCTTGCTTCAGCAGGCTAAGATGCAGTGCTTACTCCTGATGCCACCACTAAATTCAATTTGTAGGAGTAGCCACACTGGGTAAGACCCAAATTCCATCTGGGCCAGTATTACACCTCTGACAGATTACTGAAGGTAAAGGTATTGCAGGATTTCTCTAGTACACTATTCCAGCCCCAGTAAATTCATGTGCAAGTAGCTAAGTCTTAAATTATATAAAGAGCTCTGGATCTATCCATCTCAGTGTATCCACTCACAGAGCTAAGAGCTCAGAGAGCATTAATTACAGTGCCGCCCAACGGTGTGCACATGACAACAGCTCTGTCTGCTTCAGAAACCCCTTTTCTTCCTGATCTCTGCTGAGGACCAATCCCACCCTCTGTACCACGTTTGGGTTCTCTGATGGTTCCAGGGAGCCCATGGAGGAAGGGAATGGAACTGGAACACAGGCTGTCAGTGGGAGCAGAAAAGCACGGATGCTAACACCCAGGAAAACAGCAAAGCAGCCTGGCATGACTGGCTGCTGGTTCCTGCTCCTGAGCCTCATGTGAGTGCTGGCAAGAGCCGTGCTGGGAGCTCCAGGCCACACAGTGCCCACCTCTATTTCCTGGAGAACGTGTATTTGGTTTGTGGGAGCCACCACCATCTTTCCTGCCTGTACATTCACAGTGTCCATCTTCCATCTTACCAGAGCTTCCAACTTCATCTAGAATGAGAATTTCACACTATTAGCTAACACTTGTAAATTTAAGCTGCGGATCCCAAATATTAACAGCAATATTCCTTATACCTCTATGCACCTTCTTGGTCAGTCTTCTTCCTACCATCAGTTCAGAGACTTGTACTTCCCTGTGACCCAAAACCTCCTGCATCCTCTGACATAAATGACCTCCCCCCTCATGACTTTCTCAGGGAATCAGAAGCAATTCAGTATCTGCTCATCTAAAAACTCAGCACTGACCCTGGATGAAGTTGATGAACATTTCAAGGTCCCTTATCTGCGTCTTCAGCTGCTCCACCAGCTGCTCCTTCACCCTGGCTGGGTTAACAATCTGCGCTATGGCAGCATCCACACGCTGTCGCAATTCCTCTGGAGAGAGCGCTGCAAAATCTTCACTCAAGTCCATGTCCAGCTTCTTTATCAGCTCATTGATAATCATCTGCAAAACACGTTAGCAGCACGATCTCTCTGCGTGGCACCGCCACCCATGAGCTCCACAACCCTCCCTGACCCATTTGTTGCTTTGATGGAGAGGGGCTTTGGACAAAGGCCTGTAGGGACAGGACAAGGGGGAATGGCTTTAACCTGCCAGAGGGGAGACTGAGCTGAGCTCTTAAGGCAGAAGCTCTTCCCTGTGAGGGTGCTGAGGCGCTGGCACAGGGTGCCCAGAGAAGCTGTGGCTGCCCCATCCCTGGCAATGTTCAAGGCCCGGCTGGACAGAGGGGCTTGGCGCAAGCTGCTCCAGTGGAAGGGGTCCCTGCCCGTGGCAGGGGGTTGGAGCTGGATGAGCTTTGAGCTCCCTTTCAACCCCAAACCAGTCTGGGATTCTAGGATACTGATACTGTACTACAGCTGCTGTCAAGAAACAAGGACTGACCAGCTCCTACAGTCTGTACAGGGCTCCCAAATGCTTGGGAGTCCACAGGCCTTACCCGTTGTCTTTCCATAACCACAGACTGCGGCAGAGAATCATAGCTGCCCTCCTGGTAAGCAAACGTCTCCAGGTCATCCAGCTGCGTCTTGAGCTGCAGTATCAGCTCCCTCTGTTTCTCCTTCTGCACCTCCGTCTGCTCCTGCTTCTCTCGCTCACCCTGAGGAGCGGGGACGGGTAAATAGATGTACCGAGACGCCAAGCCCCAGGAACAGGACCGCGCGGCACCGGCCGCACCCCATCACCCGGCACCGGGGCCGCACTCACCGGGGTTCCGCCGAGGCCGAGCGGCGCGGGGCAGCCGCGGAACGCGAAGTCCTCCAGGTCTCGGAGCAGGCGGCGCTGCTCGCCCGGCCCGGCCCGCGCCACCTGCCGCAGCCGGAACTGCACCTGCGCGAAGTGCGAGGCGAGCGCCAGCAGCGCCCCGTGCAGCCGCCGCCGCTCCGCCCGCAGCCGCGGCACCGACTGCGGCGACCCCCCCGCCGCTTCCTCCTCCTCATCTGCTTCCTCCTCCGCTTCCTCCTCCGCCGCAGCCGACACGGCGCCCACCGGCGCCCAGCGCTCCCCCGGGCCCAGCGGGCCGCCCTCCGCCTCCATGGCTGCCGCTACCGGCGCCGCCGCTCCGCCGCCATCTTGCCGCCGCGGCGCGGGGCGGGGCCTGCCGGGGGAGGGGCGGGGCCTGCCGGGGGCGGGGCGGGGCTAGCGCGCCCCCCGGCGGCGGGGAGGTCCCTCCCGGAGGCCTCGCCCCGCCCGGCCCCCGCCACCGGCCCCGCGTCCCCGGACCGAAATAGCGCGGGGCGGAGCCGGCGCGGCCATGGCGAGGTGAGCGCGGCCGGGGGGCCGGGACGGAACGGGACGGGACGGGCAGTACTCGATAGCGGTGTCGGGAACCCCCCCCGGGCTCGTAGCCCGAGGCACCACCGGGCTCGACCCTCAGCCCTGGACCTCAGCCGCTGCTGCCCGTGTGCGGCGTGAGAGCGGAGCGCTGCGGCCAGCGGCCACTGCCCGGCCCGGCGCTCACCTCGTGGTGGGCAAAGCGCGTGTGTGTGGGGCACCTTCCTTGCCCCGGTCCCCAGCCGGTGCCTGCTGGGCACCATGGAGGCAGCCGCTGCTCTGCTCTTTGCCAAGGCAACCCGCGAAGACGCTGTGGTACGACCGCCCGCGGTACGTGTACCTGGAGTTCTGCGTCGAGGACAGCAGGGATGTGGAGGTGGTCATTGAGGAGCAGCGGCTGGTGTTCAGGTGAGCTGCTTGTACCAGGGATGTGTCCCTTGGCTCGGGGTGGTGTGGGTGCAGGCGGACTCTGAAGGGGCAGGGCCCGTCTGGCCTTGCTCCCCTCAGCCAGGCTGTTGCGGTGTTTTGGCAGTTGCAAAAACGCAGACGGCGTGGAGTTCTACAATGAGATCGACCTGTACGCCAGGGTCAACTCCAAGGTGAGGCTTCCCTCCAGCAAACTCTTCTCGGACAGCCTGCATTAGACTCGGAGTTAAACCCAACCTTGAGCAGCACCGCTTAACGTTGAGTCCTGCCCCTTCCCCAAAAGCCTGAGTGGTGTGAGCACCAACCCGGGAGCCTTGAGCCTGGATCTGGCACTCACGGTGCTGCCTTGGGCCAGAAAACCTGGCTCTGTGGTTCTGTGTCCCCCCACAGCCTGAATGTGGCTGAGTTTAATCCTGTGCGTGGCTGCAGTGGATTACAGACAGGATTGAGGCATCCCCAGTGTCTTGGCAGGACTCGCGGGAGAAGCGCTCTGACCGCTCCATCACATGCTTTATGAGAAAATGGAAGGAGAAAGTGGCCTGGCCCCGCATCACCAAGGAGAACATCAAGGTGCGTGTGGTGCCTGGCGTGCCAGGACCAGCCTCAGCGCTTGTGCTGTCCCCACGCGGCACCTTGTGGCTCCTGGGGACCAACCTGCCCTGGGACAGTAAACCGAGGGCCCCACACAGGGACCCCAAAGGGAGCTCAGCCTCACGGGTACCATCAGAACACAGAGCTCTGCCCTGCAGGAAGGATGCAGAACCCCCTTCCCTCAATGCAGGCAGAATCAGGAGGGGCACGCTCCCCTTCCTGCCCTTCCCCAGCCCACCCTGTGCAGCAGCATCCCCACAGAGCAACCCCCAGGCTTGAGGGGGAGCTGCCAGGTCCCATCCTTCAGGGGATGCTCCCTCTGCCCGCAGCCAGCCTGGCTCTCCGTGGACTTTGACAACTGGCGAGACTGGGAAGGGGATGAGGAGTTGGAGAGGGCCATGATGGAGGAGTATGCAGAGGTGAGCCTGGCTACAGGGTCCCGGGGCATCTGTGGGTGATGGGGATGGCAGAGCTGGGCGTTCAGCACCCATGGCCGCTGTTTTCCCATCCAGCTCCTGGAGAAGGTGACGGACAAAGGCACCCCCCCCGCCATGGATGACCTGGATGTAAGTACTGCCCACGAGCCTGCCATGGTTCCAGCAGCGGCTCAACACTCTGCTCGGGCAGCCAGACCGGAGCCCACTGGGGACACGCTCCCGGGGCTGCCCAACCGGTGCCGGCAGCTGCTGCTTCCCTGGCGCCTCGCTCCTCCCTCCCGCAGGACGAGCCCTGAAGCTCAGGACCCGGGCACGCCGCAGGAAGCCTCCCGGTGCGCCGGCAGCGCGCACCCACGAGCAGCGCGGGCGGGGATCTCAGCGCATCAGAGCCGCGGCCCCCGCCCCACGGGCGGCCTCCCCGTGCGGTTACAATAAACGTGAGCCGCCGCCGCCGCCCTTTGCCGTCCGCTCCTCGTGTTCCGCCCCCGAGACCCAGCGGCACCGGGAGCGCGCACCCCGCAGGCGCCGCCTCTCCGCGCCCGCCATCCGCGTGTCCCTGCGCGGCCGCCATCCGCGTGTCCCTGCGCGGCCGCCGTTGCCGCCAGCCCCGTTGTGTGCGATGGTGTTCCGGTGCCAGCGGGACAGCTGGGCCCGGCAGGTAGCGGCGGGGCCGGCACCGGGAGGAGCGGGGCCGCGGGGCAGGGACGGGCCCTCACGGCGCCACCGGCCCCGTTTGCAGTTCGCCACCAGGGTGGTGTCGTGCCGGGCGGCGGAGCTGCGGCCCGAGGGCGGCGGGGAGCCGGTGCGCGGGTTCCAGGTGGTGCTGGAGGACACCATCCTCTTCCCCGAGGGCGGCGGGCAGGTAGGGGCCGGGCGGGCGGCGTGGGGTGGGGGGAGAGCAGAGCCGCGATGGGGCTGACGGCCGTGTCCGCAGCCCGATGACCGCGGGCTCATCGGCGATGTGCCGGTGCTGCGGGTGACGCGGCGGGGCCCCGAGGCCGTGCACTTCGTGCGGGCGGCGCTGGAGCCGGGCACCGAGGTGCTGCTGTCGCTGGACTGGGAGCGCCGCTTCGACCACATGCAGCAGCATTCAGGTGCGTGCCCGGTAACGCGCAGCTCTGCCCGTGCCGGGCTCCCCTTGCGCTGTGAACAGGTCGGGAAGGAAACGCTCGGCCCGGTTTGAAGCGGGCTTTGTCCTGCTCCTGGCGCCGGTGGCGCTCAAAGCTGTGGCTTGCACGTCTCTTGCAGGGCAGCATCTCATCACTGCCATCGCAGAGCAGATGTTTGGATTCAGGACAACTTCTTGGTGAGCAGGGGAAAGGCTCCTTGTGCCCCCAGTCTCACCTTGTTTGGCGTGTGCCAGCGTGTGGGGAGCTGAGCATGAATACATCAGTTTCCCCGGGGGCATTTCACTCGGGCTCAGAGGGCCTGGGAGAGGTGACTGAGCCAGGGAGAAGCTTTGGGGAGAAGCTGTGCAAAGCATTTGCTTTGTCTCTGGGTGTTTGGTGTGCACAGTGTGCTCTGTAAGGAGCAGAGAGGAAGGGAATGCTTGTTTCAGTCACGTTTCCAGCAGTGGGATGGTGCTGCCCAGAGGAACCTGCCGGCAGCTCTTAACTACAGCAGCAGATGTTCACTGGTGCAGGGAGCTGGGCCGCCAGCGAAGCGTCATTGAGCTGGACACCCCCTCCATGACAGCAGAGCAAATAGAGGCCCTGGAGAGGAGCGTGAATGAGAAAATCAGGGAGAGGGTGCCTGTGACAGTGAGGGAACTGGCTGCAGATGACCCTGACATTGAAACAGTGAGTGGTGGGAGAGAACTGATGATATCTGCGGGGCCGAGACAACCAGAGCATGGATGCCACCGTGGTGCCAATGTCCTCATGCTAGGTGAGAGGCCGTGGCTTGCCGGATGACCACGTGGGGCCAGTGCGAGTTATTGACATCGAAGGCATAGACTCCAACATGTGCTGTGGGACCCACGTCTCCAACCTGAGTGACCTGCAGGTGCTGAGCTGCTCTGGGGAGCGTTTGGAAGTCCCTGAGATCCATGGTCTGTTGGCATTGCCCCTGTGGTAGAGGGGGTAGCAGGAGCCCTGTGCTGGGTGAACCCAGCAGCACCATGCCCAGGGCGCAGTCTGTATCCACTCACTCGGGTGAATGCAGGAAAGGCCCGTCCTGGCCTGGTCTTTCTTCATAGCGGAACTCAGCCCTCACCTGCAGCAATGGTGTTACCTGAACTGCCAGTGCTCTGCGAGGGCATGTGCTGGATTGCCAGCGTGGCAGTGCCGCGCTGGGTTGTTCCCTGCTTAAAGCACTGATATTTTTGAGTGCTTGTCATGAATGAGAGAGAAATCCTCTGCAGGGAGGGGGAGAGAAAATTCTAGAGCTGCTTTTAAACATTTCTGTCTTTTCAGTCTTTTGTGGGGGTCTGTATCCCACCAGAGACCTCCGGGTGCACTGCAGAGGGCAACCCAGGCTGAGCAAATCGTACTCATTCCACTGTATCACCTTCCTTTGGGGGTTTTTTGCATGTTGACCTTTAATCACTGGCAGAGTCAATACTCACAACAAGGCATAATCTGGTAGGAACTGGCCACCTGCGTGAGTATAAGGAAAATACTGTTCTTTTCTGACCGGGGTGATTTTCTTTTTAAGGTTATTAAACTCCTCGGCACAGAAAAAGGGAAAAAGAACAAAACCAACTTGGTTTTCCTGGCAGGAAACAGAGTGCTGAAGTCACTTGAACAAAGTCACAGTACTGAGAAGGCTCTGACTTCACTGCTCAAGTAATACCCTTTCCACTTTTGTTACTTCATCATTATGACTCCTTCTGACAAATAGCACATAAGCCTCAGCAAATGTCTACACGGAGCTTTTTATGATGTTACCTTCTCTTGCTCCTTTAAGAAACCCTTTCCTTGTCCTCCAGAGCAATGATCCCAGTTCTTGTTCTTTCAGAAACGGACCAGGTGGGCACGTAGAGGCCGTGAAGAGACTGCAGAGCTCAGTGAAACTGCTGCAGAAGGTACAAGGGTGACTGAGAAAGGCTTCCTGTAGAGCCAGGCTTTAGTCCTAACTGGGAACTGGATTGTGGATGTTAGGAAAACTGCTCCAGCCCCTGGGAACAGAGCGGAGGGTTCGTGATTTCTCCATCTGCAGCACAGTTTGGTTGCTTTTCTTGCAGAATAACTTGAACCTGCTTAGAGACATTGCTGTTCTGATAGCCCGGGACTTCAAGAGCAAGCCTGTTCCAAGTCAGCTCTTTGTGCTACACAGGTACAGAGGAGTTCGGGGAAAAGGGGGAAATGGCATCATGGTATCTTAGACATGTTATGGCAGTTGCATCTCTCCATCACCTTTTCAAGCTTGTTTCTCAAGGAAGAATATAAGCAAGGTGGATAGAGGATTAAACTGCCTCAGTCTGCTGGAAGGCTGTGTCATTAAAGGAACGTGTTAGTAATTCAGTCATTGAGTTCTTCTGCTTTTATAGCTCTGAAATAACTGTGTCTGGTTTCTCTCTGCCATTGATACTTTCAAATAAAACTGAAGAGCTCTATTTCTTAGGGATAAACACAAATAATTCCCCATATATCCATAGGAATGCACAGTGAGGGTTTAGATACACAGAAAAGCCCTGGTCTCCATCCTAACAGCAAGAGGCCAGAACCCCAGGCCTGATCAGACCTTTGGTTTCTGCTTGGTATTTTGGACTCTAGAGGGGACTTTTGCCTCTTTCTGAAGTGGGTTTTTTTTTACCCATCCCTACAGGAAAGAGGGTGACTCTGAGTTTATGAACATCATCGCTAATGAGATTGGGACAGAGGTAAGTGACTGATGGAGACTCACCTGACCCTATGGGCTCTTTCATTCAGGCTATAGCCCAGGCAGGGGCTGACAGGGCTTCTCTTTGTCCCATAGTCCCAAGCAAGGTGTGTTTACTTCCAAAAGTTACCTGAGGTTATTGTCCCCATCAGCCTGGGTCTGCAGGGGAATCCTCAACAGTCAGGAAATACACCAGGGAAAATCCAGAGCTCTGTAGAAGAGCCTGTGCTTAGAGAGCCACACAGAACCTTACTGGGAATAGGATAGGATGGAATATTGCAGTTGGGGGGGAATGGAATAGACTGTTGCAGTTGGAAGGGATCTACAATGGTCATCCAGTCCAAGTGCCAGCTGTATCCTTTGAACGTGGATACCCCCATATTCTGTCCCTCACATATGGTTGAGGTTAAGGTTAAGAAACTCGCTCCATTTTACTTCCTTCAACTTGAGTCTCTGCCTCAGTAATGCACACAGACTCCTGAATTATCGGATGGGTCCTGTGGCCAGTGCCTTTGTCCTCCTCCAGACAAGGAGGGCACTGGGTATTCTGGAGCAAGATCCATCTCTCTGTCCACAGGAAACCCTGCTGTTCCTGACTGTGGGAGATGACAAAGAAGCAGGACTCTTTCTTCTAGCTGGACCAGTTGAAGCAGTTGAGCATTTAGGTCCCAGGTAACATGTTCTGTGGGCTCTTTAAAACCAGTGAGAATCTGATGTTGCAGCCTGAGCAGCGTCATTGAGGCACGGATCCATGTTTGCTCTCTGGAATGGGTTGGGCCAGGCCAGTCTCTTCTCTGCAAGTGAGAAGGAGCCTGTACTGCTGTTACTGCAGGGTGGCAGAGCTGCTGGGGGGCAAAGGAGCTGGGAAGCGAGGCCGCTTTCAGGGCAAGGCCACCAAGATGAGTCGGCGAGGAGAAGTGGAAGCTCTGCTCCAGGAGTTCACCAGCAGTGGGAGCCCTGAAGCCTAAGAACGGTTCTCAAAGCAGAGCCGTTCTATCCCTGCCTTGCGTAAGCCCCAGCACCTTCTCTCCCAGAGAATAAAGACATCAACCCGGCGTCTGGCGTTGGCGTGCTCTGTGTGAGCTGGTTTGGTGCTCATGGAACGCTGGGGACGGGGATGTGCCCTCCACGCTTTGCTGGGAGGGATCCATCAGTTCCTGGAGGAACGGTGCATGTTCCCGGCTCACACCTCGCCCGGGCAGAGGCAAACCTTTCCCTTGGTGGGGTGCAGTTGTCACCGGTCCGGTTTTGAACCTCGCAAGTTTTCCGGGTCAATGCAGGTGTAAATTCCCTTGGGATCTGGCAACGCTGCTCCCCCCGGCCCCTGGGCTCGCCTTTCTGCCCGGCTGCAGCCTGGACCTGCTGCAATCTCGGCTGCGGGGCCTAAGGGGGGCTGTGGAGTCACAGCGGGGAAAGGCAGGCTCAATAAATGGGGAATTTCCCCCCCCCCCTATGCAGGAAATGGCAGGTTTGGTCCTATTGCTGCTAATAAATAGAGAAAAAAGAGAGCTCTATCCTAAGGAGGTTTATCTATGATGAATACAGGATATACGCCTCTTCCTGATGTTCCA